GCTATTTTCAGAGGACAACTGAAACTGATGTCTTCTGGGTTTGCTCAAAAACCTTCTGCCTAAGGATGATTTCAGGGCTCTAGAAACCAGAAGTTAAAGAAGCTAAAAAAGAGACAGATTTTTCTTGTCTCTTCAGGCCAAGGTATCCTCAGATACTCAAACTAAGTCCTTTTATTTTGCTGTACTACTGCAGCAATAGTGAAAGAGCTTGGGCTTGGTTCTGTTTGGAGGAGCTGTCTGTTGTTGTCTTTTCGCCCCTGAATTGAACACTTGCTGTCAAAAACCTGAAGCCGTGTTTTTTCAAAATGATCCTGTCTTTCAGGATCAAAGGGAATGCATGCGTTTCTCCTTAAGGTTTTTTTTGGTTGGTTTGTTTTTTTTTATTGGCTTATTTTAGTCTGAATTGAGAAGACCATCTGCTAGTGCCTGTACCCAGCATACAACTTGTTGACAGGACAGGAAAAGTAGACAGGCTGGGGCCTTTTTTGGCTTTTTAGAAGCAGCTTCATGTTTAAAGAAAAGAGGAAAAACAAAACAAAAAAACCAACCCAGCACCTCGTTGGGTGTTGAGCCAGGGATGTTTGGGTCTTGCATGCATGGACGTGCTTGCTTGTGGTTCTCTGCAATCCTCCCTTGCCCGTCTGTGACCTCGTTAGTGGATGTGCCTGCTTGGAAGGGTCGTTAATTTAATATCTTTCTCTGCGCAGCAGCTGGGCCAAATGGTCCCCCCGGCTCCGGCGGGGGCCCCCCGCCGCCCGCCCCCCCCTGTGCGCAATAACCTACAGGCATTTTTGCTGTGGCTGTCTCAAGCTTTTTATAGTTTTTCCACACTTGTTGCGTATCGGATGCGTTACAGGTGCGGGCCTGCGCTGAAGCATTAGCTAGCTGTTTAAAGAGGGCTTGGGTTTTGTTTTTTTATCTGGTAGTCTTGCTTGTTCCTGCGTTACTTTAACACAGCAATAGTTTTAAACTGGTGTCTGGTGCATGGCGAAGCTGCTGCCGAGGGGTCTGCCTACTGCTGGGTCAGGGTGCTCGTCCCTGCGAGCTCTTACCCTTTGCCCACTAACGTTTCGTTGGGGATTTTGTGGTTTTGTTCAGGTTGGTCATAAAACTGAATAGCAGCTTCATCTGTGTGCTAGCTGGTCAAATATTTCGGCTCCTGCCGTTTCCAGTACCTGTATTTTCTCCTAGCCATGCCTATGTGCCCTGTTGGTGTTCCTTCAGGGGACCGTCCCCTGCCTGCACTGCCTCACCTTGGCCTGAGCACGTGCTCGGGAGAAAGAAAAGGTACCAGCGATGAAGGCCAAGCTGATGAGCAAACGTCCAAGCAGCAGAAGTGCCCCAGGGAGGGCTGGGGAAAGGTCCCTTGGGTGTAAACCCAGTTCTCAGCGGATGCTGCCGTTGGCTGTGCAGCAAGGAGAGTATTAGAAAGATGGGGACAATCTTTTTAGCAAGGCCTGATGTGGCAGGACAAGGAGTAATGGCTTTAAACCAAGGGAGGGTAGATTTAGACTAGATACAAGGAAGAAATTTTTTACAGTGAGGGTGATGAAACACTGGAATGAGTTGCCCAGAAAGGCAGTGGAAGCCCCATCCGTGGAAACGTTCAAGGCTGGGTTGGACAGGGTTCTGAGCAACCTGGTCTAGTTAAAGATGTCCCTGCTCACTGCAGGGATGTAGGGCTGGATGACCTCTGAAGGTCCCTTCCAGCCCAGAGCATTCTGTGATTCTGTGATAAGGCTGTGCAGTGGGAGTGGGGCCATGAGGGGCTGGAGGCCTCAGAGCAGGAGCTCATCAAGGTTGAGTCACTGAGGAGCAAGCATCCCTCTGAGCTGGGGGTCCCCAAGCCAACAGGCATGGGTGATCCCTTCACCATCAACCTTTAATGTTCGTAATGGGTTATGACACCCATGTGACAAGGTGCTTTGAAGCCTTACACATTTGTAAGCCATGGGTCCTCATTTTTAGCTATTTATTTATTGTTTTCCAAACTGCGGATCTTGAGCTAGGCTGTACGTTCAATTTCCTTTACTTTCCAGGGTGTGCGAAGAAGCTTAGGCCAAGAGATTAATGAAGGTGATGAAACTGGTGTGGTGTGGAAGTACACCACGTATGCCACGTTGCAGCTGTGTTAGGAACCGCTTCAATGAATGTCTGACTTCTTCAGATTGTCCTGGAAATCAGAATATCATTCTCATCTGCTCTATTGTGTTTCTAGAAGCTGCTTAGGTACCAACTTGCGCCAAAATGCTACATTTTGGTGAGTGGATGACGTATAATTTCTGTACTGAAATATTGAAGAATCTCATGTAGGACAATGGGTAGTTACGGAAGTGTCTCATCAGAGGTGTGTGGACTGATCAGGTTTTGCAGAAAACTTTTAAGGTTGTATTGAGGAGAAAAGGTCCTCCGCAAATCGTGCCTGTATTAGATGTATATGTCACCAGTGTGTCGGGGAGAGCCATGGTGGTTGCTGGCTTGGTCTGCTGCCCCGAACCTTGTCTGGGAGAAGGGCCCAGATAACCTATCTGGGCAGGCGCCGTAGCAGAACCGATCTAGCATAGGGCTTTTGGAAAATACATCGTCAGGCCTTTCTCATTCTGGTTTTATTTCACATGTTTTCTCCCCTTGTCGATCACTATGGCCGTCTTGGTGGGACCACAGGGAACTGGGAGGCTCAGCCTCTGCCTGCCAAGCCCCCGTCTGGTGGCACGCCTGGATGCCCAGCAGGATTGAGCTGCTGGAGATCCCTGGTCCTCCCAAAGTGGTGTGGGGCAGGCAGGCAGGAGAGCTTTTTTGTTATTGTTTATTGTTACTATTTTTTTCCCCCAGTTTCTGACTCTGCAGACCCCCAAATGCTCTTAATGGAAATACGGCCTGTTTATATGCTAATTTTAAGCTCACTGACAAGCGGTTTGCTTTGCTCCTGACTTCTCACGGCTCCTTCGCCCGTTGAAAGCCGCTGCCGTGGGCTTAGGGGATAAGGTGCCAAGAATTAGAAAATAAAATAAAATCTGCAGAATGCTGGAGAGTGAGAGGGTATGGGGATTGGCTTGCTCAGAGTACAAATGGGTGATTTCTGAAAGCAAGCAACCCTGATACCAGGGGCATGCATGACAATTACATCCAGTATAATACGAAATGTTAATTACTAAATTTTGAGAAATTAATGCTGATTAGCAGCTGCATGTGTGTGACCTAAATACATCTATTGCTTGATCTTGGTTCATAATATACAGTTTATTGTTCAAAAAGTAATTGCTGAATAGTGGGCTGGCCCTCAAGTCTCATAGCCGAAGACTGAGGCCTGATTTGTAAATCATCCGAAATTTGTTGGCATCCGTTTTTTGTTGAATTTATACAGAGAGGGAAGATGAATAGCAGTTTGAGCTATCCCCTTTACAACTCATATATATTATTGAGAATTCATACTGCTTTTATTATTTGGTCACAAAAATGGACTTAATGCTTGTTGGCTTTAAAACACCTACTAGTGCTGCTTTCTCTCTCCATCTTGCCAAATATAAGACAAGGCCGAAGCTTAAATTAAAATCCTCAGGTTCTTATCTCTTTCCCACAGGAAAGCAAATCTGTGTTGAAAACCGTAAAATTAAGAGGAGAGCAAGGATAGCATAATTTAGCAAAAATTCATGGCACCAGATTCTGAGCTATATGACTGGAGGGATAGGTCAGACATTAAGAAGATACTGCCTGCTAATGCAAGTTCCTTAAGGTGGTGCTCTGGAAACAAGGCAAGCAGAAAATGCTGCACTGGTTCCCGTTTGCTCCCTTTCCTCTACTCCTGCCGGCCTTAGCAATAAATTGAGTTGTCCATTTAATAACCTTTCTGCTTCCAGAAGTACTTGGCGTATTGTCCTAACATCTGTTTGTGCTGGGATTTCAGTAGTGAACTCAAAAAAATTAATTTCGTTGGGCTCATTAATGATTTTTTTTTTTTCTTAATTCCTTATATTTGATAGGCTGTCCTTACTGAGCTTTATCAGCGTTTCTGTCTGAAGGAAAGCTTTTTGTATTTTCCTCCCTTTTTAAAAATTTTTAGAAACCTGTTTGTGCTGTAATTATGTTTGCTAAGGGGCAGGGTAGGGTGGTGGGGTACAAACAAGGAGTGCCTGTTACACGCTGGCGTCGTCGCTACGTCTCACCCCACCACGGGAAGACCCAACTTCCGTGTCAAGCAGCGTTAATACGGCAGCGTTTCGTTTGGACGGACGAGTCCCGTGGTCTTGCAGCCTTGATCCCCGAGCGTGATTTTGGGCGGCATCCCCCCATCACGCCGCATGCCCCCTCCCCTGCGCCTCTGTGGGAAGGGCCGATGGGAAACGTGCGTCTCGGCCTTATGGCACCCATTTCAGGACCCCCTCAAGCATTCGTAGTACCTCCGGTTTCTCCTCGGCGTGATGTGGCAAGAGGCCACTCCGCCGTCCCCGGGCGGTCAGTGGGTCTCTTCCCTAACCCACCCTCTGAGACGCCACTGCCAACCGCGTACATGCAAAATTAGGCTTTGAAGGGTGGCTTTTCAGTTACCTGCCACCCAGAGCAGGAGATTCTAGCTGGAGTTTGTGAGATTGTCCCTGCTGCGCTGTGCCGTGGTCATGCAGGAAAGCGGTGGGGAGGAGGAGTGGAGTCCATGAAGCCTGTGTTGCTCTGAAGGCTGGAGATATAGCAAACCTGCACTTTAAGCCTTTTTTTTTTTTTCCAATGCTGAACCCGTAACTGAAGGGTTTCTTCAGCGCTGCTGCTGCTCGGCCACAGCCCTGAGTGTGCGGTGCCTGCCTGCCCAGCGTGGTGCTGCGGCTCCTGCCCCGGGGCTCTCCGGCCGGCGCTTCCCCGGCGCCGTCTCCATGTCTCCCACGCACCTTTCCTCCTGCTCCCAGCCCTTCAGTGATATAAATGTATAATAATTGCATTTTGGAAGTGTCTTTAATGCAGAAGCTCCACCTCACTAACACTATTTAATTTTTTTTTTCCTTCTCTTGCAGTCAAACAAGGTGCCAGTGGTACAGCCTTCTCATGCGGTTCACCCCCTCACCCCTCTTATCACCTACAGCGATGAGCACTTTTCCCCAGGGTCTCACCCTTCTCACATCCCCTCCGACGTCAACTCCAAACAAGGTGAGCTAGTCCCATCCTGGCAGGGATGCAGAGCAGTCCTGGTGCCCCCCACGCTGCTGATACGGCTTTATTCTTAATATTTTAGAGGGAGGGTTCCAGGCATGCGCGCCCGCTTTCAGAGGCAGTAATTCTACCATGATGCTGATACTTAACTCGGCTGTTCAAGTCTTCGTGTTCTTTCTAATGTGATAATTCAGGCTTGCTTTACTCGTCAAAATCTTTTAAAATCTCAATAAGCAGCAGCCAGCCCTCAGCACCCCCTGTGGTGCCCGAGGCTTGCAGTGTGCAGATGGGGACACGGCAATCATCCCTCGCCTTCCCGAAAGCAGGGGAAGAGTACTTCAGTAGTGGTGTTACTGAAACTGCGTCTTTCTCCTTTTTTACTCAAAATTGTGTTTTGTGTCTTTGTGTTCTGGCTGTCCAAATTCTTCCATACGTCAGTTGGCATAACTGAAGCACAGCCCATAAAATACAGTTTTGAGCCTGCGCAAGTGAAGACTTTGCAAACCTGACAGTTTTTTACCTTCTCGTGCCCGCCGCCTTTTGCGGATAGTGTTTTAGACGACCGAGTCGACGGGGGGGTGTGAGTTTTCTCTGCACCCTGAGGACTCTTTGTAACAAACAAGAAAAGCCCCCCCAGATCCCGCTGTGGGAGCATGAGACCAGCCCCGCTCCAGGTCAGTCTGCGGGCCCCGGGAAGCGCTGACAGCCTCTGAGGCACCCAGCCCAGAGCCCAGCCTGCCCCAAGAGCTCCCGCCTGGTGAACCCAGGCTTTTCCAGGGAGGCTGTGCTTGCTTGCACTGGGGTGCAGGAGCTGGGGGAAAGCGTGGTGGTTGTTGTGGGGTGCAAGGGGAGGACGGACCCCGGCCGGCACGGGTCTGAGCCTGTGGGTGGGCACCCGAGGAAGAGAAGCCTGAGCGGGAGAGCTGGTGGCGAGGAGGGGGAGCAGAGGGTTTACAAAGGCGTTCGCTCTAGCCGGGACGTCTGGCATGAAGCCTCTCCCTGCCTGTGTCTGCACTCGCGTGTCCCACCGCGTGGCGTGGCGCCTGCTTGACAAGATGGTGAAGCTCTGCTTTTCCTGGGCACACATGCGCCTGCGCGGCTGTCTCATTTGTCTGGTGCCTAGGCACCGTTGTTCAGGGAGAGAGACTTTTTTTAGTTCTGACTTTCCCCTCAGTGCCTAGTTTTTATTTTGGCCTTGTTACACAGATAATAACATGGGCTACGTCCAGAAAATACCATGGCCTTGCGGCTCTGTATGTTTTTTGCTGTTTGTTGGTTAGTTGCTTGGTGTATTTTTTTTTAGGGAGGGGGAGTACAACAAGCACTCTGCCTGGGAAGCTTGGCCTGTAAATCCACGTATAGTATCTTTTTCAGAGTTGGAAGAGGCAAGTGGAGACCTCCTGTCCTCATTTGTCTTCCTCCTTTGCATCAGTGCCCAGGAGAAGGATATTCACTCTTGTTCCTTGAAATCCCAGGGGTGCCGTGCATTAGAGAACGGGATTTCCACCTCGTGCCCAAGCTGGCCGAGATGGCTGGGGCACACCCCACTGCACGATGGCTGTGCCCTCCTGCACCCCGGTTCTTTGCCTTTCCCCCTCGTTTGTTTTTGCAGTCCTCTCCTGCAGACCCAAACGGAGCAACATCTGGTTTGTTGTTTTCTGCTGCCTGTCTTCCCTGCTGCCTTTTCTCGCTCGCTTTCCTGTCCAGCCCCAGTGCTTCCCACCGCTCATGTCCCTGAGCACAGGCCCAGAGCGGGGCTCTGCCGGGGGGCAGCCAGAGGCATCTCTGGCGCAGAGCTCCTGCCCCTCTGGTGTTCCCAAACAGGCTCTTGATCCCTTTGCTCGGCGTCTGGCAAAGATGGGGATGGAGAACGCGGGCTGGAGACTTCTGGTTTTGGCTGTGGTGGTCTCCTTGATGTGTGTGGTCCCTCCACGCTCCCCATTTCGGCACCACTGGCATCTGGGAGCAGCCCCACTGAAGTGGCCCATGCAATTGCTGGAGAGAGAGGATTTTTTTTTTCCCTCAAGTCCTCTGCCAAACGCCTCCGACCATTGTTTCTGTCCTGGCCTCCCACCATGGCTCTGGAGCGAGGCACTGCCCTGGCACCCCCAGCCCTGATGCCAGGGTGCCCTCCTCTTGCCAATATCCCCCAACAAGGGGGTCCACAGCAACTTGCCCGCAGTGCTGCCTCTTGCACCCCAGGCACTTTGGGATGGACACGCAGTCACTGCCTTTCTAAAGCCAGTCACTTCTTTCTTCCCTGTTATTTTATTTCATTTTTTCCTTAACCCTGCTGTGAGCAAGAACTTGCTTTGGAGAGCACTGGCCATGTGGTAGCTGTGTATGTTCCCGCTGGGTAGCTGACAGCCCCCCATAAGGGGCCACAAGTTTTGAACTAGCAATAACCACTGTACGTTAGTGCAGAAAGAGCACTGTCGTTTCGATGGGTCAGAAATGAAGATTCTGGGGAAGGAGCAGCCCAGCTCCTTGTGCAGAACTTGGTCTGGCAGCGACAACGTTGTGTTGTCACTCCCAGGGACATCAACTGTCACCAGAGATGAGAGGCTGGGCTTGTTCAGCCTGGAGAAGAGAAGGCTGAGAGGGGACCCTAGAAATAAGGAACATTCCTTCTCACATAAAAACCCTGGAATATATAAAGTGTTTTCTTTCCTGTCACCCACCAGCAGTTTTACACATTTGAAAAGACAACTGGCTAAAAATACGATCCTCAGGTTGTAGTCTCAAGTCTGAGAATTTAGCTTGTTTGAGACAGTAACACCATCCGTATTGTTTTCCATACCTTCCTGTGCACAATCCCGAAAGATATTCTTCAAATCTTGTAATTAAATTCAAAAGGTTTAAATACAAACAAGGAGGGGGAAATAAATCAGTAGCATCAATCTATAAACCAAGTCCCAAGGTAGCACACACTCAGTCTTGGACCTTTGGAGTGTCACTACATAAATATTTAACGCCCTTTTAAAGCAGCTGATTTAACATATGAAGTAGACTTAACAATTCTTCTGCTTCAGCCCCCTCTTCCCCAAACACATTTGAATAAACCAATGTCTTTGTGGCCTCTGCAACCATAATTCCATGTCTCCTGGGGGCACGAGGTTTAGGTGAAGAATGGAGACCGCAGACCCTTTTGGGATGAGGATTAGCTTTAATCTTGAGGTGATTCTTGCAGTTGTAGGACTCTGTGTTCTGGGGAATGTGAGCTGATGGATCATTTCTGATGGGACTCTTATTTTTCCGTGAAATACTACCAATGCAAAACAGACTGACCTTGGAGCCCACAGGAGTCAACTTGATGAAGAGCTTAGTTGGAGCTGGAGTGACAATTGGAAGCCAAATGAATCATATCAAGTGTGACCATTACAGGCCTGAAAATGATTCTTAATTAACCACTGATCCTCTGTGGTAGCAAGTTTCCAAAATCTGTGAATCCATAAGGGAACCCGCAAAAATGTACAAGTAGCAATTTACCTAATCTAATAGCTCCGCTGCGCTGCCTCTTTGGCAATGCTTTGTTTTCCTCTTGTTTCATGCTGTGTCAGAAGAGGTTCTCAGGATCCAATAGGGTTTGGTGAAACCATTGAGAGGATGGTATTGCCTGACGAGCTTTACAGGAGATCTAAACTTGTGCAGGCTCTCACCCGTAAATTTATTCACTCTTTTCACTTTGTTTTTTCAAGTATTTCCCTTTGAACTGCAGTATCGTGTGCAAGTTATTTATTATTTTAAAGGTGGCATGGGTAGCCTTTTGCTTTTAACACTGACCCAGAAGGTGGTTATGTCTTATCCAGAGCACTAATTCCATCGTGGAGTTGGCCATGTTAGCTATCACGTGTAGTATTTTGAGGGGAAAGTCATTCATTCTTCTGTGCTCTTTAACAGGCATGTCCAGGCATCCTCCAGCTCCTGATCTCCCTACCTTCTATCCCTTGTCTCCAGGGGGGGTTGGACAGATAACACCACCTCTTGGCTGGTAAGATCTTTTAGCTTCTTTTCAGACAAAGGTGCACGTTCACACCATTCGCTGTTGTTGAATCAGTCGCAGCATTTACAAAATAAGAATGTCGTTGGAGTAAGAAATTACTACATTATTTTAGTTGAAAAGATCAAAAAATTTTGATCTTTGAAATGAATTGAATCTGGTTTTTGAACATGTACAGAAATTGAAGTGTGTAGATTTCACTTTGAAGTCTATATATTTCTTATGGCTCAGATTTGTGGCTCTTGGCATTTGGAAAGATAGCAGAAAACAGTTCTCAAGGAATTAAATGTAAATTTTTAATAAACAAAATTGCAGTTACTGAGGGGAGAGAAGGTAAGAAGGAACTTTGAAGTGTGTGTATGTGGGGAAGTCTTGAAACGGCATCAAAATGGTGAACAAACTTTAGTAGTCTGCTGCTTTTTCTGTGTGGACAGAAGCCTCTGTCGTTGGGAGATTTTGCTGCTCTTGCTAATGCTAGCCCTCTCAGGATCTTTCTCTGCCATTCAGGGTGCCATCTTCCTTTGGGAGGAAACCCGTGGTATTTTCAGAGTAATCGATTTGGCAGGTTGCTTTGTGTCTGCTGGGGGTAGATATGTGCTTGCCCTCAGATCCGTCGGAGCAGGGGATAAGCAAACTCAGCAGCAATTTCAGTGCTTTAAAATCTGTATCTTGTCTAATCTGTGCCCGTGCAATGAGCCAGTTATTTTGGGGTGTTTTTAATGTGTTTATGGGAGGGAAACATAATCCAGATGACAACAGGCATAGAAAGTAGAGAGCAGAAGATGGTGAAATGCTGTATTGCTGGCAAATCTTTCAGGAAGTGTCATGTGCCTTTTTGGGACAAATTAGATACCAAACTAAAATGTGGAAGTATCTGACTCTATTTTTTTTTTTCACTTCTCCCCTGTTTGTTGCTGCTCAGCTGACGCCCTACCTCCACCACCACCATGCCGTTCCTGGCATTCGTTTTCCAGATGTGGTGAATCGTTTCTTTTGAGTGGTTTCTCAATGCAGAGGCTGGGGAGAGGGAAGAGGGAAAGA